TCTCTGTACTTTAATTCAAAATTCTGCATAATAAAAGTTTTAAAAAGGAAAAAGCATTTCAAGACAGGTCATTCCAAAAATATGACTTTAGGCCACTGAATGCGTTAGATGGCCAGAGACCTCTAACCAGTGATTCACAAACTTTGACTTGTATCTAATTAACCTGGGAAGCTACTAAAGACTAGAAAGTGCCAGGCTAGCTGAAGTAGAACAGAGCCTGGTGATACTGATACCGATCAAAGTTTAAAAACCATGGCTCTAAAACTCCATCTGCAAAGCCACCCTCAACAACTGAGGACAGGCAGAGACAGATTAGTGAATCTCTGGGAAAACAGTTACATTATTACAAAGTCCTCCAAATGTCATACATATGCTGTATGTGGGATAAAACAGCAAACACCCACCATGGACACCCACACCTCAGTCTACACATATGGGTTACCCAACGGAACAGATAGTGCAGGGTTCGACCACAGGCGGAAGAACGAAGGAAGGACATCAGAGCACTAGGCCATCCTTTGAGAGAAGGTATCTTCTGGAAGGGGAAGAGAATGATGGCAGAAAGGAGTCGGGACAGGGAGAGTAGGACAGTATGTGGGAAACAGGGCAAAGAGAGGAAGACAATACGAAGAAAGGGAAAAAAGAGAGGAGAATAGAATAAAGAAAGGAAGACAAATTTAAAGAGGAGGGAATTAAAAGAAAGGAGGGAATAAAAAAGAAGATAAGAGGTAGAAGGACATCGATCCATGGAGCAAATATTTATCTGAGCTCTACTCTGTGTCAGGCAGTGTGGTAGGCGCCGTGCATGTGGCGGTGACCAAAATATGCTTTCTTCCTTCAAGAAGCATTCACTCTTTTGGGAAGTAGAAGGGAGGAAATATGAAAGGGAGAAGAGAAAAAAAGAAGAATGAGAGAGGAGAGAAAAAGAGAAGTAGGTGGTAATTAGGGATGGACTGAGGAGAAGGCAAAAAGCGTTTTGTCTGCCACTGAACCACAGAGTGTAGGACTTTTCTGAACATCTGCTTGATTAAACCTATTCATTACCTATCTCTGGTTATAAAGCATCATCAGTAAAGCATAATACTGAAATGCCTAGTTTTCATTAACAGAAGTTATCCTGTATTCTAAATTATACTTATGTATTTATGTTTGTATATGTATATGTTAATAATCTCATACTTTTTTCTAATGTTTTACCTAGAGAAGTTTTTAATTTTCTTCTTAGGCTTCCTAAAGACTCCAATATTTCACTTAATCGTAACGTGACCTCTGCCACCACCACAATGTCAATGTATTCCATCTTATAGCAGTGAATTACTTCATTTATCTGCCACAAAAGATAAATCCACTAAAAAGAGAAAACATCCAGAAAAATCAATTAAAAGTATATTACATTGCAGAAAGAGTCATATTTTTCAAAACTTAGTACTTCCTTGAAATTACCATCTTCTAATCACATGGAAACATTATACAGGTACCCCCTCCTTATTAATGCATCTTAATTATAAATAATATAAAGATAATGATCTTAAAAAATGATATTTAATAATCAATCTGTTTATGTAAATTCATAAAGAAGATTTACTTAAGTTTATAGTCTGCATATCTATAGCTATAATGACAAATTTGTGATCTGTTATTTTTATATACCAGTGAATATTATCTGTATCCTCCAAGTTCTCACTCTCCCTTCAAAGCAGCTGTTATGATCACTAACCAAGTCCTCCAAATTAGCGAGGGAGAAGCACGTGTTTCAGGCCCCACACTAGGTCCTTAGAAATTCTCTCATGCCTATACCCCTAAAGCTCAGCATATAAAAATCAACCATCACACTTTGAGACCTAAGATGATAAAACAATATTTATGCATCCACGTTATTACTTAACAGAGTCCATGATAAAAATCACATCTATGCATACTAATGTAGCTAATCCTAGGAGGCTTCAGAATCACTGAAACTAAAATATATGTTACTACTAATATATTCTCTTCTAAGTTTCCAGGGTAAGATATTCAAATGCTCAACTTTCTCCTTCTCATGAAATAGCTTTTTAAATAGTCTAAATATATTATTGCAAGGAAATAAAAACTAAAACTCAGAAATAAAAACTGAAACTCCTTACTTATTGTATACTCTATTATTAATCTTCTCAATGTATCCACACTCACGTGACCTTAGACACACCTATTTATTACTCCCTTAAAAACCTGAAATACTTCACCACTCCCCTAAACAAACAAAATTGGGACAGGGGTGCTGCGAACACACATTAAAAGAAAGGCTCACTCAGCACTACAAAGAATATCTTCTTAACACATATATATGCAGATGATGGCAGCTATGCAAAGGGATAAATAGGGAAAATTTAGATTTGAAATTTATATTGCAACTTGAATTAGCAATAACAAAAAAACATGTGAAAGGAAACAAAAAAGGAATACTTTGTTAGTACTGATTTTCTGGGCTAATTTTGCATAGTCATTTCTGGATACATTGATCTTCTGAATTCCTAATTTGCATTTCTGCCATAGGAACATTATCATGTCCACAACGATTTCTTTATCAGGCTGAACATCCTGAAAACAAAAGTGATAAAGTAAATGAATAAGAATAATAAGATATATGTATATAACACTTACTGTATGCCAGGCAGCACTCTAAAAGCTTTATATATACCAACTCATTTAATCCTTGTAACAGCCCTATGAGGTGAGTACTATCACTATCATCCCGACTTTACAGATGAGCAAACTAAAACATAAGGAGATTAAGCGATTAAGTGATTTTTCCCAAGATGAAATGACTAGAAAGTAGCAGATCAGAGGGATTTAACCCAAGTAGTCTAGCTCCAGAGTCCTCACTCAAGGAACACTCTATGCTGCTTCTGCTCCTGTAAAAATAAGAGTCCAAACATTTTTAGGCAAGTATGTAAACCAGTTAGTCCCATCCAACTTTGAAATTTATATATACTTTCTCTCTTTAAAATTTTTGCATTAAAATAATAAAGAATTGGAGGCAAGGGGAAATGGGGGGGGGAGGGAATGAACTAGTAACCAGAGAGGGCATGGGGAGCTGGGGAAGGATACAGACAAGAAGGAAAGGGAGAAAATAAACAGAATTTCATACTGGGTCTCAATAGATGATTCAGAGCCAGGATGTGTCCTCTCAAATCAAAGTTACTGGGCTTTTTTCAAAAGAAAACTAAAGTTACTGCTCATGTCTGAACTAGAAAAATAATGAGTTTATGATAAAAATATACCAAACATCAAGTTCCTTTGAGACAGCTCTAAGACTTAATTTGCATCTTAGCACCTTAGTATAATTCTTGGGAACAAAACAGCGATCAATAAATGATTATTGAATTGAACTGAAGATATTTATGATTTGAAAAAAGAAAAAATACAGATAGATGAAAGTTTCTTACCCTTTTAAGCCATGATTTTTTGGCTTCGCTTTTTTGCTGCCAAACACCTTTCTTTTGAAAATTAAATACCTGTCACAGGTTATAACATATTCTAATAAGCACGAAAGAAACAGAAAATACTATAACAGTGAAACTTCTCAAGTCCTTTACTGTGTTTCACTTATCTGGGCAAAAGTTAACACCATGCTTTAAAATTGTGGTTTACAAGTTTTTCCATAAAAATGAAACCAAATTTTCAAGTGAAATTCTACCAGAATCCCAGTATTATACACAAAACTAATAAAAACAGGTTAGGGTGCTACACTCAAAGATGGGCTTCTGAGGAACCTCAAAGGAGCCCTGGGAATCTCTGGAATTCAATTTTAAAACCAGTGCTGTACTAGTTTTACCTGGACCACATATAGGCCACATACAGGCCATTTCTAAAAACTGATCATTATGTGCAAAGTGACTCCCAATAAAAACCGGACTTTGTTTTCATGAACTGAAAAGCAGTATTTCGTTAAGCATACTAATTCTTCATTAAAACCACTGCCTCATTTCTTTCATTATTAGAAATACAGCTGCCCTGGAAATTTCCAGAAAAGGAACAGACTGACACCAAAAATGACAACAATAATAAAAAGAAACTTGAAACGACAAGTCAGGACCTAACTCAATCCTGTATTTTAATGATTAAANAACCACTGCCTCATTTCTTTCATTATTAGAAATACAGCTGCCCTGGAAATTTCCAGAAAAGGAACAGACTGACACCAAAAATGACAACAATAATAAAAAGAAACTTGAAACGACAAGTCAGGACCTAACTCAATCCTGTATTTTAATGATTAAACAATATAGAATTTTAGAAAGGTGAAATTCCCATGGTATTTTAAATCTGGCCTTTAACTAGGCATGATAACCTCCTTCTACACTATTAAAAATGGTGCAAAATAGCTATTTCACCTGGGGAGAATTGCAGACACAGTCATACAAGGTTGCTGCCAAATGGAAAATATCTTCTGAATATCCATAGGTCTTCACACAAGCATCTAAATTTATAAAGTAGAGAAAAATAAAACCAAAAAAAAAACAATTACAAAATTTCAAACAAAAGGCACAGAATTTCTCCACGAAGAAATGATCAATGCATGAGGTGACTGATACATTAACTGCCCTAACCAGATTATTATACAACATATATATGTATCAAAATATCCGATTGTACCCCATAAGCATGTATAATTACAATGTGTTAATTAACATTTTTTAAATAAATAAACGAATAAATAAAAAGGCACAGAAAGACAGAATTTCTACAAATATGACAAATGATATCTGGTCAATATAATGTCAATGAGACAATTTAAATGTTTCTATATGAAAACTAATCTAAGTGACTCTAATCCAATTAAAATAGTAGTAATGATTACTATTATCCATAATCCATAATATGTATACCAACTATGTCTAAAAAGAAATTGAAGAGGCTTACAATATTAAAATACATACAAAAATGACAGTTGAAAGAAAAATAATAAAAATATCTATTCAGAAATCGCTAGAAGAAAAAAGTATCATTACTTGGTATAAGTTATTTACTGCAACTGAGAAGCCATGCAATGCTTTAAGAACATGGAAAAACATAAAAAAGATGGAATTAGACAATTCCCATTGGTCTAAAAAATAGAAGCTGCAGATTTTCAATTACATACACAATAACTTTAAGACTTGAAAAGTCCTAGAATGGAAAACACTGCATGTGGGAAAGAGAGAGGAGACTACCAAAACTTCCCTTGCTAAAGTGAACTGATGACTCTGCACTTTGATTCATTGCCCTGCTGGCCTCTCATGCTTCCCAACAAGCCAGCAGCTAAGTAGAGCCTCACTCCTGTACTCAAAACTGTCACTCAGAATAAAATCCAGCATCCTTACAAAGTCTAGGAACTGCATTATCTGGCACCCACCTACTTCTCTGACCTTGTCACCTACCACACTCCCAAACTCCACCATGCACCAGTGCACTCAGCCATACATGCCCCACTGCCATTCCCTCAATAACCAAGCACACTTGCCACAGGGCCTTTGAACCTCCTGCTCCCTCTGCTTTGGACTTTCTTGCTCTCACCTCACCTATAAAGAACACATTTTATCAGATAAAACTATCCTAATTTTTCAAAGAGGCAAATAAATACTCACCATGAAAAGCACTATTTTTTAAATAAATTTGATCTGACTGTCCTTTATGGCAAATAAATACTCACCATGAAAAGCACTATTTTTTAAATAAATTTGATCTGACTGTCCTTCTTTAGAGTTTTCCAAAGGAAAGATCAAACCTTTGTTTTTCTTCACGTTGATTAGTGGCTCTATTGCAATCAGAAGAGTTAGATCCTTCTCTGCCTTCTTTGACTCTGGATCATCCTGACTCTTAGAGAAGTATATCCCACAAGTTAATTAGTAATTCAATGTCATTTTAACAAAACAAAAACAAATTAATGGTTTTTCGTATATTACCTGGAGAAAACAAATAAGGTGCCCAGCTAAAGATCCAAATAAACTCCATTCCTCGTAAGTAAAAGCTAATTTTATAAATTTCACAGCAGCATCTACAGAAATAACATTTTTTCTTTCTATCATAAGTTGCAGAAGAGGCGTTTTTGGAAAATCAAGCATTCCATTTGTACCAGTATTTGAAACTAGAAAAGGAAAAAGAGAGATATGAATATCACTCATGCAAAGAAATATTGACTAAATATTAGCTATCAGACATTGCCAAGCAGTAGGGAAACAATAGAAAAGAAATGAACACAATCCCTGCCTTCACAGCGTTTACACTCTGGTGGAAGAAACAAGAAATCTTAGTGGGCAAATACAGGGTGCTGTGGGCACAAAGAGGAAAGGCATCCGACACAATTTGGGGACAGGAGGGCAGTCAGGGAAGGCTACCCAGAAGAAGGAGCATGGGATCTCAAACATAGAGAATTAGCAAGAATTAGCTACATGTAGATTGGAAGCTCAGGAGAGAGATCTGAAATAGGGATATAGCTTTTAGAGTCATCATTATGTGTCTGTAGTAAATGGTTAGAACAGCCATGGACAATGCATAGCTGCCTAGGACAGAATGTCAAGGACACCGACACTTAGGCGAAGGGCTGAGTTAGAAAAGGCTGCAAAGGAGAGTATTTAGAGAGGAAAGAGTAGTCAACAGCAACAAATACTACAGAGAGTAAGGGAAGAAAAGGACTGAAAAGTGACAATTGGATTGGTTGAACAAATCAAGCAATATATTGAAAGGTTAACCTTCACCTTCAAATTAGTTTTATTCAAAAAATACAGGGTGGCTAAAAATTAGATAAACAATCAGTGTAATTCACCACATTTATAGAAATAAGAGAGAAAATCATTTGATCAATTCAGCAAATCTCAATAAAATCTGAAAAAGCTTTTGATAAAATTCAACTATTCGGGATTTTAAAAAAAAAAAAACTCTTAGCAAACCAGGTACAAAAGAAAACTTAACCTGAAAAAGGGTATCTACAAAAATCCTTTAGGAAATATCTTATTAAATGGTAAAATGTTGAAAGCTTTCCATATGAGATCAAAAATGCGACAAGGATGTCTGCTATCATACTTACTTCCTTTCCATGTGTTATTAGAACCCCTAGCTAGTGCAGTATAAGTCAAGAAATGCAAGAAAAAAGAAATTAAAAGATTAAGAAATTTTTTAAAAGATATAATTGTCATTATTCACAGATGCTTGTACAAAAAAAATCCAAAAAAAAATCTACTAACAAATTATTTGAACTATCAATCAACATTAGCAAGGTTGCTGAATTCAAGACTGATATAAATTGTTTATCAGTTTATGTTGTGTGAACTGCAAGGCTAAAATTTTTGTTATTCATGTCTACCATAAAATATTGTCATATTTACTTATTACGAGTTCTTTTCCTGCCATAAACAGTTCTGAGACAACATCACGAAGCTCCACTTCATCTGTAGCAAGAGGTCCAGTTTGCAGTATTCGCCTGTTTGAATCAGAAAGAGCTTCCAAGACAGCCAAAAACCGGGATGCAGTGCTATCAAACATCTCATCCAGCAGCCGCTCTGTGATGGTACGTGGCCATGGCAACTGGAATAAAAAAATTTTCATTCCATTTTTTAAAGATATTATGAGGCAAAGAAAAATAAGGACTGCTTAATTAATGCTAAAAGAGAGAGTGGCTGGTCTAACAATGAGATGGCTGCTCTTACAGTGTTCATTTTTTGAGATATCATTCCAGATTCCATTAAAGTTCCATGTCATGCTGCCATTACATCAAAGACTCTGCTATTTGTTTATATGTTTGTGTTTCCAAGGCAGTATAAAAAGGCTGTTTATGATGGTCTTTTTATTAAGCCAGCATCAATCTCCTATGCTTTATGGTACCTTAATTGCAGCCTTAAGGATTGATATTAAAACCATGGTTGCCTATGAATCACTCAGAGGTACTTTTTAGATTCAAGACCAAATCTCCAGAGATTCCATGGGTCTGCGAGGATCATTTTTAATAAGCACTGTAGGAAATACTAATGCAGAAGGCCCTCAAACCCAAATTTGAAATAATATTTTATAGTATAAATAGTTAAGTTTGTAGTAGTTAACTCCAAGGAAGAATTGATCAGCCGTATGCTATAACCTAGTGACTGTTAGAGCCTGGTGTGAGTTCCTAGCGACTCTGCTTTGTACTGTCCCAGAAAGACTTCACGTCCTACAGATGGTTCTCCTCCACACTTAATTCCTCTCTCCATTCTCTACATTTCGATTGCCAGTAAATAAGAATGGTAGCTCTAGATGGCTTGTCTAGAATCAATATCTAGCTAAAAGATACATATTCCTCATGATTCCCTTGCTCTTTTTCTCTTCTTGGGGCAAAGTCAGGAAGACAAAAAAACAAAAGCAGGGATAAAGCTTCCTTGGATTATTTTTCCCTAAACACCAGTTGAACTTCATGTCCTGCTCTCTCTTTCCTTACAGAGGCAAGAGATTCTTCTAAGATTTTTATTGCAGGTTAAAACAGAGCTTTAAGAATGAATATTTAAATAGCATAATGAACTTTCAAATAATTAGAAATATTCAAAATGAAATGGTAAAACCCAAATGGGTTAAAGAGTGAAATGGTTTATAAAAATATCGTAGAAAAACTAGTAAAAAGAGGAATAGACTATTTATCAGAACGGTAGATGAATACTAAGTAAAGATTTAAAAATATAAATATTAAAAATATTTATTAGAAAGGATTAAAGCTAAAGCTGGGCCGGCCCGGTGGCGCACTGCTACAGTGCGCCGCTTGGGATCATGGCGGCGCTCCCGCCGAGGGTTCGGATCCCACATACAGACCGGTTCCCATTCACTGGCTGAGCGAGGTGCGGGCACGGCACCGAGG